AATAGTTTCGGTGGCAATATTTATTGCTGCAAAAACATTTACCAACAACTGATTAAATACCATTAGATCCAGGGTCACTATAGCCTCTGGTGGCATTTATGTTGAATGCTGGTAAAGACCCATATTATTGCTGTCAAAACTAATTACTTTTAGCAGCATTTATTTAGCGGCAATTACTATAGCCGTTAAAGCTAACTTAGAAATATAATATTTAACATATTTTTCGGCTTTTATTATTGCCGCTAAAATTCAACAATTGCCATTACAAGGAAATTATTTTCGTGGCAATTATTATGATGGCTAAACTGACCATAAATTCACCTTAATACATTCATTTAATGAAAGACTATTTTATAGAATCAAAAACAAAGATCACAAGAGCAATAACTTCTAACTAGATGAATTATCAAATTCAAAACAATGTCATTTACTTGAAACAAGAACTAACAAAGCCGACACACCAGCATATTTATCGACTTGTAAGAAATGTAGTATCCTTATGTACAAGTCAACTAAACTTCAAACTGGAAACCGAGTCTCTCATCAACAATGTGATATTCTTGATCTTCTCTTCCTTTTATTAACAGTGTGATACTCTTGTCAGCTATCATTGTGTGACCTTATAGCCAAATTTTCTAGTTTAAGTTCCTGCATTACACCATCATACAATAAAAAACTTTTTGCATATAAAATACATATTATAACATATATGAGAGAAAATCCAAGAAGATAGCGAGAATTAAAGTAATATTCGTGTAACCATTTGAGACACAATTGTACCATGAATCAAATTCTTGTAATATAATGTCTTAGAACAGTTTGTTAAATTACAACCTTAGTCAGATACTATTCCTTTTAAGTAAGATATCAAGGCATTAAACCAATAAAGACAACTAAAAATTAGACAACAGAGTCATATTTGATATTATGTCTCTCAAATTGTAAGCCAACATATGCAGAAAACAACAGAGTCATATTTGATATTATGTCTCTCAAATTGTAAGCCAACATATGCAGAAAACAAAGAGAGTCCAGTACAACAACAACAATGATCTAGTGAAATCCCACTAGTGGGGTCCGGGAGGGTGGTGCATACGCAAATATTACCCCTATCCTGAGGGGGTAGAAAGGATATTTTCAATAGACACTCGGCTCAATAAGACGAAAAGGGAGTCCAGTAGAACATGAAAAATACTTAATTAATTGGAAAAGGTCCAATAATATCCCTAAACTATGGTATATAGCTCACTTTTGTCCTCCGTTAGTAAACTGGGCCACAAAAATCCTCCCCGTTAGCACAATGGGCCACTAATGCCCTTCAACCTAACGGCCCTCCGCACAAGCCATTTTAATCTTACATGGCATCCACATAGCTGTGACATGGCAGCCACATAAGCGGGGCAGCCTAATAAACCCGCTCCGAATCCCATTTCCAAACAAAGATCAAACAAAGGCCGTAACCCCATTTCCAAACCCCATTTCCAAACAATTTCTGCTACTCTTTATAGACCGTTCTTCCATGGCGATTTGAGAGTTGAGGTGATGATAAGATCTAGCAAGGTTTAACAACACAAATTGAAGATCATCTGAAGATATTCAGGTAATTTTCCCTTCTATTTATTGGGTCTTTGTCTCGAACTTTATTTTTTTTTTTTGTAATTTTCTAGGGTTTTGTCATGTTCTGGTATTTCTGACCTGTCTTCTAGTGTATAGTATTTGCATGTGAGTCTGGTACTCTTTTTGTTTGTTATCTTTGTTGTTTCCTTATGTGGTGTCAATTTGTGCCCTAGGTATACATTGTCTTTGGCTGCAAGTGTCCTTTTCACATATTTTATCATAGTGTGGCAGGGTTGGGTTATTGAAATCGACAGTTACATGTGCATTTCTTCTTAAAGACTATTTTTTTCTTGCTTTCCACTGTTGAAATCGACAAAACATGTTATAGACCGTGTGCTTTATCTCTTAAAGTGTGTGCTTCATTCTTTCCACTATATTATATGCAGTAATTTATTGTATGTTCAATATTTTATTGTCAAAGTTGTTAAATTATTCATGTGGTCCCTCTATATTTTCTTCTGTGTCTATATTTTAGATATTTCAATATGGGGGACCACGAAGAGCCAATTTCAGGTCAATATCAGTGTGAATTAGGTACTGATTATGAATCGGATAGTGATAAAAGTTCAGAATATGGTTTAGATGCTAGTGAATATGGTTTTGAAGAATTAGAGTCACTTAGGATGCAAAAGGGTAAAGAACTTAATGATAAGCTTAGTCACTACAAAGAGCTTGATAAGTCTATGACATTTAAGGACTTGGAAGAGGCCAAAAAAGTCATGAACTTCTATGCTATTGCAAATTCCAAACCTTTGAAGCTTAGAAAAAGTGATAAAATAAGAGTAAGGTGTAGATGTGTAGTAGGCTGCCCTTTTGTATGCCTCATCTCTGAAGATAAGAAGGGTCCTGGCTTTAAGATTAAAACATTGAAGACAGAGCACAACTGTGAAGATGCATTTGAGAATCCTAGAGCCAAAATAAAAACTTTAGCTGAATATTTCAGGAGTAAGGTGCAGAATAACCCCAAGTACAAGATAAAGGATATGAAACTAGATTTGAAAAATCAATTTTCATTGAATGTACATAACTCTAAGAGGATGGCACTTCAGCAATTGCAAGGAAGCTTTTTAGATGACTATAACAGATTAGAAGCATATGCAAATGAGATTAGGGAGAGCAATACTGGTAGTGATATGGTTATCAATGTATCAAAAGATGCCATGGCTGAAGGTAAAAGAAGATTTCTTAGAATGTACATATGCTCCAATGCAATGAAGTTGGGGGGGTTTAAAGAAGGGTTGAGACCATTCATTGGACTAGATGGGACTTTCTTAAAGGGTCATTGCAAGGGGCAATTATTGGTGGCTGTTGCACAAGATTCTCAGAATCATTTCTATCCCTTGGCTTGGGCTGTAGTTGACAAGGAAAACACCTTGACATGGACATGATTTCTGGAGCTGCTGAAACACTCATTGAATCTGAAAGATGGAACCAGTATTACCTTTATGTCTGATATGCAAAAGGTACAACTTATGATTTTGCTTAACTGACTATTCCCAGTTATTTTTAAGTTATTATATAGTTAATTCTGTTTAAATTTACATGTGCAGGGTCTGTTGGAAGCAGTAAGAATTGTCCTCCCTCTCTCAAATCGTAGGTTTTGTGTGAGGCATATTGAAGCCAACTGGAGCAGAATTTCAGGAGAGATGAAGAAATACCTATGGTGGTCTGCTTGGAGCACTTATGAGGAGGATTTTAAAGATCAACTAAAGAGTCTTGGTAAATTGTCTGTTGATGCTGCCAAGGAGTTGCTTAGGTATCCACCACAGAATTGGTGTAGGTCTTACTTTGATACATTGTGCAAAAATCAAATGGTGGACAATAATTTTACAGAGTCCTTCAACTCTTGGATCTTAGAAGCAAGAGGCAAGCCTATCCTGAAGATGCTTGAGGATATTAGAATCAAGGTCATGAACAGGTTGAGAGAGAAGGAAGAAGAAACTAGAACATGGGGAGGTGAATTTAGTCCTAACTGCATGAAGTTGTATGCTGCTTATTTGAAGGTAGCCAACTTATGTACTGTTCATTTCAATGGTGAAAATGGCTATGAGGTTTCTGAGGGTGGTGATAGACATACAGTGAATCTAGTGGAGAAAAAATGCACTTGTAGATCCTGGCAGTTGACTTGCATCCCATGCCCTCATACCATCAGGGCACTAAAATACGAGAAAGATGATCCAATGACTGAAATTAGTTGGTGGCACAGCAAGGAAGCTTACCTGATGACATATAGGGCCAAGTTGATGTCTGTTAGAGGTGAAAAGTTCTGGAAAGTATTACCAGAACATGTTATGGACCCTCCTCCACTTGCCAAAACTGTTGGAAGGCCAAAAGTCAAAAGAAATAGGGAGAAAGATGAGGCTAACAAGAGACAAGGAGACTGGGCTGCATCAAGGAAGGGAACTAGAATGACATGCAGCATTTGTGGTGAACTGGACCACAATTCAAGGACACGCAAGGTACTTGCTTCTTAACTTATCTTTCTTCTTATATAATTGCAGTTATTTAATAGAAAGTTTTTCCTTTTAATAGGTTGGTGCTGAAGAAAATGTTGAGGATGTTAGTTGTTCAGCCCCTCAACGAACTCAACCAACACAAGAAGGTGAACATGAAAGTGAATTTGTGTTCATGCCTACACCAAGAGTACCAAGACACCAAACAGAACCCTTTGGTGATGGAACCAGTGAGCATGAAAGTGACCCTGCTTTAATGCCTAAGATTATTTCTGAAGATCAATCACAACTACTGATGAGGCAGCAACAATTGACCTTAGAAGGAACAAGAGTCATCTCTTTCAGAGGAGATCATATTGGTGTCAGTTATCCCACTGATCTTCCTTACTCACCTACTAAGCTCACTTGGAAAGGCAAAGAAGCTGTGACTGGAAATAGAAGGAAAAATTACCTGAATATCTTCAGATGATCTTCAATTTGTGTTGTTAAACTTTGCTCGATCTTATCATCACCTCAACTCTCAAATCTCCATGGAAGAACGGTCTACAAAGAGTACCAGAAATTGTTTGGAAATGGGGTTACAGCCTTTGTTTGATCTTTGTTTGGAAATGGGATTCGGAGCGGGTTTATTAGGTTGCCCCGCTTATGTGGCTGCCATGTCACAGCTATGTGGATGCCATGTAAGATTAAAATGGCTTGTGTGGAGGGCAGTTAGGTTGAAGGGCATTAGTGGCCCATTGTGCTAACGGGGAGGATTTTTTTGGCCCAGTTTACTAACGGAGGAAAAAAATGAGCTATATACCATAGTTTATGGATATTATTGGACCTTTTCCGCTTAATTAATACATTCTACATCTTAAAAGCCAACTATTTTGCAGAAAATAATGCCTTATATAGAGGCTATTGTTGGATCTAACCTCACATTTAATTGGATAAGTTGGTATGGAAACATGGAAAGGTGTAAAAGAAAAAATGCTCTCTCAGTTCAAATTGGAATGAAGCGATAGGTTAAAGCGCCATCACTCTGCCAATAGCATTGCTAATATATAAGGCATATGTCTGGGAATCTGTTGCTCCAGTTTGTTTCCTTGCAAAGAGAAATAGCTGAAGTTGGATTGAATTTTATAATTTCATTTTGTTCACACGTCTTTTTTCTATTTCATTAATCGACACTAAATGTCGAGTCTGTTTGCTATGGATCCCCTCCCCTCCCCTCTCTTGCCCTTTATGCAAAACAATGGCAACTTAAACATATACTATATGGTTTAATACCTAAAACAATCAGAAAGTAGAATTACCGATTTAATTTGTGTGGCTAGAGCTGCCTAAGAAAGGAAATAGGATATAAGAATACATATTTCATTATGAAGCTTAGTGTTGACCCTTAATTTTTCAGTTTCTGAGTTACTGAGCTTTGTCATACTAACAACTCATGTATTTCCTCGACATATCAAAGTAGCAGTTCTTGAACTGGTAGTGTGGCTGTTGCTTTATTAAAATAGAAATTTTGCAGGCTATGCGAGTTTTGTCAGAAATATGGTCACATTGCGGAGGAGTGTAAGAAGAGAAAAATACATCAACCTACACTTAAAGTAACAGAGAACAATGGGCAAATAGAGAAGACAACAATGAAATTAGCAGAGATGAAAATGGGAAGACTTCTCTGGAAGCACCACAGAGGGACAAAGCTAAACAGGTATGGACAACACCAAAAAACACAAGTAGACTGTAGCTAAGGAAGAATCATCAGGAAGAGGCACTTCATCATGACGTAGTCCAGTAACCAATCTGCCGCCAACTCTAGTCATATTTTACTCTCCAAACTTGAGTACCAATTTATTTTCAAGAACCTATAGAAGTCATAATGAAAATGTCTTAGAGAAATTTCTTTCGGCCAAGAGTCAAAATCAATAATTGTAAGCTACTATCTGAAGTTGTCTGAATGGCCAAATAAATACACCTTCTACTCTGATTTAAGCACCCCCTGTTGTTTGCAACATTAATTATTTTAAGATAATGTCATTTGAATAAGCGATCACATAAAGTAAAGATGATATGAATCAGCAGAAGATTTATTTGCTTCTGAACTTGTCACGACTGCCTATGGTGTTACAAGGCAAGCCTATTCCCAAAATAACTACTAATTTGATTATAAGAATTTAATAAAGCATTTCCAATAATTTAATTCCTGATAAACTAAACAAACTCTAAATATAAATAATATAAAATACGGAAACGAGTCCCAAACATCGGGGTGTCACTAAGTCGTGAGTGTCTAAAACTATGAACTAAGATATAAACTATCTAACTGTCAGAAAGAAGAAATGACAAAAGGAGTAACAAGGTCCTGCGGACGCTGGAAGCTACCTTGCAGTCTCCAATTAAAGCCGGCCTGAACTCAACGATCGCCGCGCCCTAACTCACTTGGATCTGCACATAAAGTGCAGGGTGTAGTATGAGTACAACCACCTCAGTAGTAACAGAAATAACTAAGGAACTGAGCAGTAGTGACGAGCTCAGCAAAACAATCCAATTATTTATTTTTCACAATTTTAAAAATAACAGGAATAAACAGGCAAATTCCATAACTCAGTAAATGCCACAAAGAAATTTAACAGATAAATGCAGCAACAGCAAAAGTAAATGCAACCTCACAACAATGTCACTCCATCACTCAGCACTCGCACTCAGCACTCAACACTCAACACTCAATACACTTAACACTCTGCGCTCACTGGGGTGTGTACAGACTCCGGAGGGGCTCCCAAAGCCCAAGCGCTAAGCACGGACAACTCACGTGCTACCATATCAATACCTGGATCCGCACGGTCAACTCACGTGCTACGCGGACAACTCACGCGCTATGGTATCAATACCTGGACCCGCACGGTCAACTCACGTGCTACGCGGACAACTCACGCGCTATGGTATTAATATCCTCACAACCAGGCCCTCGGCCTCACTCAGTCATGTACCTCACTAGCCTCACCATCATCAACAAATAACGGAACACAACCCACATCAAGTACCACAGCATATTAGCAAATAATAGAGACTGAGGTAAACATGTACAATAATTTCTATGACTGAGTACAAATTATGTGAGCATGAATAAAACCTAAACAGGATCTCTAACATGAAGGCAAACAAGTTCAACAACAAGTAAACACATAACCACAGATAATAGCTTTTAGGTCTGGCCTCACGGGACGGACCAAGTCTCAATCTCTCGCGGTGCACACCCACACGCCCGTCACCTAGCGTGGGTATCACCACCAAACAATCACATGATATTAATTTCTCCGGGTTTATACCCTCAAAGCCAGAGTTAAAACTGTTACTTACCTCAACAGCGTAAAATCCTACTCCGGGATGTCCTCGTCCCTCGACTCGGTCTCCAAAAGCTTCGAATCTAACCATAATCAGAATACTACTATCAACATAGTCTAAAGAATCAAATTACACAATAAAAACTACATAAACATGCCAAAAATCCGAAATCGGCCAAAACTCGGCCCCCGGGCCCACATCTCGGAATCAGTCAAAAATGGCAGAATAATAATCCTCGTTCCTCTCCCGATTCTAACCATATAAAATTTGTCAAAATCGGACTCCGTTTGGTCCCTCAAATCCTCACTTAAAACTCTCCAAAACTCAAACCCTAACTCCCTCAATTTCACTTTGAAATCATCAATCAAATCCCAAAAACGAAGATGGATTCATAAATTATAATAAAAATCGAGTAGAGAACACTTACCCCAATTCATATGGTGAAAATCGCCTCCAAAATAGGCCAAATCTGAGCTCCCCAACTCAAAATATGACCGAATGAACAAATCCTTATTTTGTACATTTTTCTACCAGTTATTCTGCCTCGTTTCTCATGCCAAACAATCCCAAAACTCGTATTTTATGCCTCCAATGGATTTCTTGTAAAATTCTAGTCAAGTTAGGCTTTTGAATCACTCAATTTGACCTTATAACGAAGGAGATATGTAGGTATTAATATTTGCAAATGGTGCAGATTTTTAAATACGCTGTCAGTGGCAATTTCGTAATTAATCTGAAAAATCTGGCAACCTAATTTTTAGTAAAATGACCATAAAATCCTCATACGATGTCCAAATTCGATGATTCTTTTTGCTACGGGTCCGTAATTACGATACGGATCTAATGCTTCAATCAAAAAAGAAATCAGAGCTTATTTGTTCAATATGATATCATTTATGCTTGAAGAAACGGCGTCGAAACATAAGAAAAACGAGCGCAACACAACTCAAACCTATTCCAAACTCATCCGAGGCCCTCGGGACCTCAACCAACAATTCCAACAAGTCATATATCACTACCTGAACTTAGTCAAACCTCCGAAATACCCAAAACCACACCAAAATACCAAATCAACCTCGAATTCAAGCCTAAGACTTTTAAACTTCCAACTTTTGCCAATTCAAGCCTAATTCTACCACTGACCTCCAAATTATATTTCGGACATTCTCCTAAGTCTAAAATCAACCAACGAAGCTAATCGAATCATAAAAATCCAAATCCAAATTCTTTTACTCATAAGTCAACTTCCGGTTGACTTTTCTAACTTAGCTTTCTAATTAAGAGACTAAATGATCATTTCACTCCAAAACCACTTCGAACCCAAACCTACCAACTCGATACAACTCAACACAGCTGAACAACACATAAAGAAATAGAAATGAGAGAACAGGGCTACAACTGTTAGAACGACTAACCGGGTCGTTACATCCTCCCCCTCTTAAACAAACGTTCGTCCTCGAACGAGTCTAAAAACATACCTGGAGTCTCAAATAGGTGAAACCTTCAGCAATACCTTCTCGTCACATTCAAATCAATCCGAACACAATCTCGCAGTCAAATCATACTCGCCACATAGCCATCAAATCACAAATCCCGCTAATAGGGACACCAACGGACATATAAGCACGTGCTCACACAATCAACACTTCAGTGGTCAATCTACAATCAAAACCCAGCCTCAAGGCCTCCAAACTGGCCCAACATCAACACACAGAAATCACATCTCGCACCTCATCTAGGGAATCACAATCCGTCGATGCACAACTGATACCGAGCGCTCATGTGCGCATACGAATGCGTGAAGGAATTGAAAGAGTTAGACTTCAAGCTGAATCAATACCGCACGATAAGAATTCAAGAAGGTGAAGTTTTCCTAAAGGTTCTGCAGCCTCTCGAAGATAAGTACAGACGTCTCCGTACCGATCCGCAAGACTCTACTAAACCCGCTCATGACTCGTGAGACCTATGTAANAGTGATTCTTTTAAGTAATCGAAAGAGCTTGTTGAATTGATGGTTAAATCAAGTTAGGAGAATATTCGAGAGACGTTTTCCTGAAAGACTAATCCATTAACACATGCTTGCATATGTTCACGGTGCTTATATTAGTTCAAGTCATAGAGTTAAGATTTGATCGAGAGAGGAGTCTTAACTACACGTTGAACTAATCATCAAGTAAATTCGCGAGAATTATTAGATCTTTAGAGTGAATTGAACTATAGTTAGATCCCAAATAGCTATCTTGCACCTATCCTGTCATCATCCTTATTTCTCCCATTGATATTTCGGTGTGCTCAACTATTGTCTTTCTTTGATCAACTGTTAATTGTTTTAGTTTCATAGTTAATTTTACTTATTAATCATCCAAACCAAAGTGTTAATCATCCTGAATAGCGTTAAGCTAGAAATTACTTGAGCATTGTTAATCCAATCCATGTGGAGATGATGATTAAACTATACTATCTTTGGCTAGTGAGCATCATTTTCGTGTTGTATTTTGTGCTCGTCATGAGACCTAAGAAATCTAGTACTCTGATACCAACTTGTCACAACCCGAAATCCCAACCTTAGGGTCGTGATGATGCCTAACATCCACTTGCTAGGCAAGGTGACTGTCACGACCCAAAATCTAACATTGGTCGTGATGTCGCCTATCGTGTTACAAGGCAAGCCTATTCCCACAATTACTACTAATCTGATTATAAGAATTTAATAAAATATTTCCAATAATTTAATTCCTGATAAACTAAACCAACTCTAAATATAAATAATATAAAATACGGAAACGAGTCCCAAATATCGGGGTGTCACTAAGTCATGAGCGTCTAAAACTATAAACTAAGATATATAAACTGTCTAACTGTCCAAAACAAGAAATGACAAGAGGAGTAACAAGGTCATGCGGACACTGGCAGCTACCTTGCAGTCTCCAATTAAGGCCGGCCTGAACTTAACGATCGCCGCGCTCTAACTCACCTGGAACTGCACATAAAGTGCAGGGTGTAGAATGAGTACAACCACCTCAGTAGTAACAGAAATAACTAAGGAACTGAGCAGTAGTGACGAGCTATGTAAAAGAGTCCAATTATTTATTTTCCACAATTTTAAAAAAAAAATAGCAGGAATAAACAAGTAAATTTCATAACTCAATAAATGCCACAAAGAAATAACAGATAAATGTAGCAACAGCAAAAGTAAATGCAACCTCACAACAATGTCACTCCTTACCTCAGCACCCGCACTCAGCACTCAACACTCAACACTCAATACACTCAATACACTTAACACTCTGCGCTCACTGGGGTGTGTACAGACTCCGGAGGGGCTCCCAAAGCCCAAGCGCTAAGCACGGACAACTCACGTGCTACCATATCAATACCTGGATCCGCACGGTCAACTCACGTGCTACGCGGACAACTCACGCGCTATGGTATCAATACCTGGACCCGCACGGTCAACTCACGTGCTACGCGGACAACTCACGCGCTATGGTATTAATATCCTCACAACCAGGCCCTCGGCCTCACTCAGTCATGTACCTCACTAGCCTCACCATCATCAACAAATAAGGGAACACAGCCCACATCAAGTACCACAGCATATTAGCAAATAATAGAGACTGAGGTAAACATGTACAATAATTTCTATGACT